CTCTGTCAAATAAATAAATAAAATCTTTAAAAAAAAAAAAAAAGAGAACAGACCCTAGACTTGCAGGCATAGTGATATAAAGGCCAAAGGGGCTCTCACAGCCTAGTTGGAGACTGATGCTCATGGAACAGTGTCGATGTGGGAACAGGGATGTGTACAAGGGCTGAGGGAGCCCTGTAAATGGGGGACTGCTGGGGGAGGCAAAGGGCAGGATCCATAACACAGGCAATATCTGTGCTGAGTCTTGGTGAAGGAACAAAAGTTGGTCAGCTAAAAGAGTGGAAAAGGATATTCCACATAGAGGCGAGCACGTGTGCAAAAAGCAGAGCCAGAGGGGAAAAAAAGCAATGTCCAAGAGCTACAGAGCATAGCTACAGACTGTCTGCTGGAGAGGAGAGTATGGATTCAGGAAGGGCAGAAGGTGAGACTCTCAGTCTGCAGGGGGTCTGTGCATGGAAAGGAGGGGCTTAGAGTTTCTCCGCTAAAGGATGGAGTACCTTCCAAGGATTTTAAGCAAGTGATATGGTGAAAAGTGATTTCTACACGTGGCAGGAAGAATAGATTAGAGAAGGGGAGGAGATGGGGCACCTGGGTGGCTCAGTCGGTTAAGCGTCTGCCTTCAGCTCAGGTCATGATCCCAGGGTCCTGGGATGGAGACCCGCATGGGGCTCCCTGCTCAGGGGGGAACCTGCCTCTCCCTCTGTTTGCCACTCCCCCTGCTCCTGCTCTCTCTCTCTGATAATTAAATAAAATCTTTTTTAAAAAGAGAGAGAGAGAAGGGGAAGAGAGAAGACAGTTTAAGAAAATACAACTAGGCAAGGTGCAGACAGGGTGTGACAATTTGTCGAAAGGGGGAAAAAAGTTACTACTTGCGAACTCATACATAGAGTTTTGCCTTGCTCTTTGTTCCCTTTCCAGTTGGGGATAATTTAATCAGCCACTGAAGAGCCCATGAGATCCTGGCAACATGAATTGCCTCCCAAGAAAGTCACGGGTAGCTGATTTTCAAGGAGAGGAGGAGACTTTTTAAAATGTAATCCCTTTTGTACACTTTCAATTTTGTGTTTTGGACACATATTACCTAACCCAAACACTTGGTTTTATTTTAAAGAGGCTATTACACAGTCCAGGAGAAAATGTTAGGAAGAAGGCGCCTGCCCCTCACTCTGCCCCAGCCTCCCCAGGAAGAACCCAAACTTCCTTAATCAGAAAGTATTAAAAAATCAGAAAGCCAAAGGACTTGGGCCCAGGACAGAGATGAGTTCTGTCTAGATTCCTGGTGGATCTTGAGCTACTTGAGAGCAGGAAGTAGGTCTTCTTGGTGTCTATGTTCCTAGTGGTCTAGTGCTCCCCTAAGAAGCTTTTGTTGAGATGACTGACTCAACTGGCCTAGCTAAAACTCAGAGCTGGGGGAAGGACAGGTGGGATCTTAAATCCCCTTGCTGGTTATATTTGGGGCTGACTGATTTCATTACCAGCCTCCGACTCCTGACTTGTGTCAGGTGGGTTCCCTTGCTGTGTGTGGGGAAAAGGCATACTGGGTCATCACTCAGTGAGCAGCTGGGGCCAAGGGAAAGGAAGTGGCCATGGAGACAGTAAGCCATGAAAATGCCAGGGGAATGGAGAAGCAAGGGTGGCACAGAAGGGAGGTTCACCCATTCTTCCTTACCTTGGAGTAGATTTGTAAGCAAGAAGGGCCCAACATAGTTGGTGGCAAAGGTGAGATCAAGGCCCTCTGGGGTAAGTGTCTTGGGGAATCCTGGGAGGAGATGAGAACACAGGTAGTGGGTAATGGAAGGAGACAAGATTTGGGAGATAGACTGGCGTTCAGTAGATACGGCACAGGAATATGTATGTACAAGGATGGGGCCAAAAACTTAAGGGAGGCTTTTTAGGGTCATGTATGAATTCAAGTTTTTCAGCAGGATGCACAGGTTAGGTTGGTGGATGCCTGTTTTAGGGTCCCTGAACCAGAAAGGAGGCTCCTGAGATGTGTCCGGGGGAAACATACCGCAGATTCCAGCATTGTTAACCAGCAGATGTATCTCAGGAGCCTCCTGCAGAAGCCACTGGGCAAATCTCCGGATGGAGGCCATAGAGCTCAAGTCCACCTGGCCAAGCAGGAGGCAGTTGCCCTTTGAGGCTACTTGGATCTCAGCCAGAGCTTGCTGTCCATGCTCCTGGTTACGGCAGGCAAGGATCACACGGGCCCCACGGCGGGCCAGCTCCTGGGATACAGCCTTCCCGATGCCTATAGGAGGGCAGCTTCAAAGTAGGCTAGCCTGGGGAGTGATGAGAGGTGCTGGTCCACACCCCCACCCTCCCCAGTGGGGCTGCGGGGCACTGAGGCACCTAGTGAGGTAGCAGGATGAGAAGAGAACTCACCACTGTTGGCACCAGTCACCACTGCTGTCTTCCCAGTTAGGTCTGTGGAGCACTGCTGGAGGTCCCAAAGATAAGACTTGTGCCAGAGTCGCACACTTAGTCTAAGCAGGAAGACCAGCGTGAGCAGGACAGAGCCAGGGCTCCAGACCAGGGTGCTGAGTAGAGACCACTGCGACATAGCAAAGACTTGCGGGTTGGCCACCAGAAGAGCTGGCTGCAGTACAGGTAAGCTGGGGAGGAGCTAGTCAAAGCTGAGCGGGGATTAGCAATCAGGCAGGTTTGGTGCCTAGGACACAAAATTTAAAGAGGCTACTCACTCTCAGATTTGGTCAAGCACCCTGCTTGGACTTGGGAGTGCATTCTACCTTTAACTGCAAGCCTTGGACACCTGATTGCCTCACTGCTATCTTTGACCCAGAGTCCATGCTTCTCTGAGCCAGTATAGGCTGATGGTTGTCTCCAAGTGAAACTAAGCTGAATTGGTGAATTCCAGGGATTGGAAAAGCAAAATATCAAATTCCTCCTGTCTTTTTTTTTTTAAGATTTTATTTATTTATTTGAGAGAGAGAGACACACAGCGAGAGAGGGAACACAAGCAGGGGGAGTAGGAGAGGGAGAAGCAGGCTGGCTTCCCGCGGAGCAGGGAGCCCGATGTGGAACTCGATCCCAGGACCCTGGGACCATGACCTGAGCCGAAGGCAGTCGCTTAACCGACTGAGCCACCCAGGTGCCCCTCTCCTGTCTTTAATCAATGTGTACTTAAGCAGAGCCGTCAGCTTACTCCCCTACTGCAAGGAGGCTCTGAGTGATTCCAACTGAGGCAGACCCCTCTTGCAGCCCTTATGTCTACTCCTCTGTGGAGAGGGGGATGGTTCTCCAGAATGCCTCTGCTGGGGAGCAACGGTGACCCTAGTGCAAGGTCTTCCAAGGGTGGAAAGGGGGTTATTCCCTGGAACCAGTGTTCTATATTCTTCTAGGACTGTAGGACAACTGCTCCTGAGTGAGCACCCTTGGAAGAAACTGACAGAGACATCAGGTCAACCCTTAAGGCAACTCACGTGTTTATTCTGGCAAGCAGAAAGAAGGAACCGACTGCCTGAGCTTCAGGGCCCAAAATAGGGCAGGTGCTTGGGGAGCAGTGACCACACTTTGGGGGTTGGGTTCTTCATTAGTTGTCTCACAGACACCTGAGGCTTTGGGGCACCTGTCTGGATGGGATGCTGCTCAATGGGAAGAGAGGTGCCACTTTCTTTGTCCTCCTGCTGGGATACTAGAGCCCTGAGCAGCACCTGGGTGGTTGGGTTCCACATGCTCACACCAGGAGCCAGCTTCACTGTGTCAGGCAGCAACACGGGCTTCCACATCACCTGAGATGTGGCCTCAAGGACTCGGGGTGCTGTATGTGGCCACCTGTGAGGATCCTGACGCTGCCAGGAGCTGGGATCCAGGCCCTGTGGATTTACGCGGCTGCGGCCAGCCCACATCTCGCCCAGCAACTCAGCCTCGCCCTCCCAGCCACTGGGCCACTTGGCACCAGGCCACATTCTGGGGCTGGGGCTCCAGGCCAGATCAGGGAAGGCCAGATGCGGCGTGGCAAGAAAGCCAAGCCCAGGTTTGGGAAAGGGCAACTTTGACCCAAAGCCTGGCGATGGCAGGCCTAAGCTGAAAGTGGGGGATTGGAGGCCAGGGCCGGGGCCCAAGGTAGGGAAAGGAGCGCTAGGCGGGAGAGAGAAGAAAACTGTCGGGGAGACGCGGACATCGGGTCCAGGCGCTAGCGGTCTGGCAGGAGCCTCGGGAGCCTCGGTCTTCGGAACCCTCCGGCGCCCGCGGTAGGCTTCCAGGGGGCGTGCCTCCGAGTCCGGAACCAGAACCTCGGCCAGCGGGCGCACCCAGTGGCGCGGCAGGCGCGTGGGGTCCAGACGCACCCCGGCCTTGCGGCCCACCCTGTAGGGAAGCCGGGTCCGCAGCGCGTCCGCGAACCTGGGCTGCTGTGGCTCTGATGAGGCGGAGGGGCCGAGCGCCGTGGGGACGTCAGCGGAGAGGCCCGCCCCCGACACGCCCGAGTCCATGAGGGGCACGTCCTCCTTCTTGAGCTTCAGCCAGCCCCCAGCTATGTGCGGCTGGGACGTGCAATAATAGAGGTCCTCCAGCAAGAACTGGGAGCTGGGGGGCTGTGCCCTCTGGGTCAAGGCCTGGGTGCTGGCTACCTCCAGAGAAGGTTGGGGACTGCCATCGGGAGCCATCTCCACCGACGGTTGGCGGCTCGCGTTCAAGGACCCCACCGTGGCCTGGTGGTCTCTGGCCTGGACGTCCAAGTCCTCTAAAGGACCCCCGGACCCTGTCTCCTGAAACAGCTCTGGGGTAGGTGGGGGGCCCGGAGAGACTTGCAGCTCTGGAGAATGCTCCCAAGAGTCTGTCTGCTCCTGAGAGCGTCTCACCATCCACCGTCTTCCTAAAGAGATCTGGTCCACGCTCCCTTGGTCCTAGGAAATGCATTGGGGGTAGGGGCGGAGGGTGGGTAGTGAGACGCGGGAAAGAGGAGAGAGGAACTAAGGGTAGAGGAGTCCAGGGAGGCCCTGAGGAGAAGGAAGACTCGGTGGGGCTCAGGGTAGCGGGGTGGGGGTTGAAGGGAGTTTGGGGCTGGGCTCACCTCGCCTGGGAAGGTCTCCTCCGGCCCCATCGAGGCAGGCGCATGCAGCACGGGCACTGATCCCTGAGCCCAGGCATCCGTCGTGCACGCCAAGGGTTCCTCGTCCTCGCCCCATGTGGGGTCCTCGGCCACTGCAGATTCTCCCTCGTCCCTGGCCAGGAAGCGCCACTCGGTGATCTGCAGCATGGCCTCCCGGGCCTGGCTAATGGTGAACGGAATGCACTACGGAGGTGAGAAAGGGTCTCAGCCCAGGCGTTGCCGGAGGGACGGGTGGGTGGGTGCAGATGAGTCTGGAGAACCGGGATCCAGGCCCACCTGTTGAGTCAAGTAGACTTTGAAGGCAGAGTCCATGACTTGAGCCAGCAGATCAGCCAAGATGTCCCCCACAACATCCTCTCCGTCCTCTAGAGCCATGAGCGCCATCCAGTCAGCCTCCGTGAGCCGCCCAGGCACGATGTCCACCTGTGGCACCTGCACTGTAGGAGGTCGCGCCTTTTCCGCCTTGGATCGGGTCACCCCGCGGTCCCGGATCTGTCTCTCCTGCCTCTGGGAGGAAAAAACAGGGCAATCAGGCCAGAAAACAGAGAAGTGGAATGGAGAAGCAGCTACAGACTAGGAAGCAGCTTTCTCAAGCTGTCCAGTAGGAAGGAAAGCCTTCTGAAAGGAACAATTTACTAAGAGCCTACTACATGTCAAATTTATTTTAGATGTTTGACCTAGCTAATTTATTTTTGTAAGATTTATTTATCTGAGGGGGGAGGGGCAGAGGGAGAGAATCTTTCAATTCAGACTCCCTGCTGAGTGGGGAGCTGGACATGGGGCTCGATCTCTGGACCCTGAGATTATGACCTGAGCTCAAGCCAAGAGTAGGAGGCCTAACTGACTGAGCCACCCAGGCGCCCCTGACCTAGCTAATTTAATTTTCATTTTTAAAAATTTTTTTTAAAGATTTTATTTATTTATTTGATAGAGCAAGAGAGCACAAGCAGGGGGAGCGGTAGAGGGAGAAGCAGGCTCCCTGCCAAGCAGGGAGCTCAATGCAGGGCTCATGACCTGAGCCGAAGGCAGACGCTTAACCATCTGAGCCACCCAGGTGCCCCGTTAATTTAATTTTCATAACATCTCATTAAGCCCATTTTACAAAGAAACTGAAAGGACACAAGTTAACCATTGCTTGCTTGAGATTACAGAGTACACCCTGGCTATGTATAGCTCTACTCCACAGTCCCTGCTATTGGCACTAGTTCAAAAGGTTCAAAGTTCTTAAGAGTTCAGAAAAATTAAAGATGAGTCAATAAATGGCTACTGCTCCTTAGAGTCTCCTCCTCTCCCCCAAATCAACTTAGATCATTTTACATCTAAATAAATTCCAGATGGATTAAAGGATATACACACACAAATGAAACAAAAACATAAACAAAAAATAAAATGTAGGAAAAAAATAGGTTAAATTGTCATATCATCTCTGGGTGAGAAGAAACTGCCTAAGCATAAAAATTATGTAAGAAATAGCTAGAGAGGTGTATACATATAGGCAAAATTTTCCTATACTTATTTTTAAGACATTCCCAGTTACAAGCTGACAGTAGTTACCATTTACTGGCACTTAAGTGTATCAGTTACAAACGCTCACTCAAGTCCTACATTTTTAGACTACATACTATTTTTATCTTCATTTTACAGAATTTGTCCAGATCACACAGCAAGGAAGTAGTGAAGTCATAATTCATATGTAGGTATGCCTGACTCTAAAGCCTGACTTTACCCTGCTTTCCAAAATAAAAAAAAAATTGCAACAAATATAAAAAAGGATAAATATCCCCAAGTATATTAAAAACTCACATAAAAAATAAAATCATAAGACCCCCAAGGATAATAAGCAAAGGACATTAACATTTCACAAAAATGGAACCATAAATGACTAATAAACATTTGAAAAGACGTCCAACCTTCAAAAATATCAATTCCAGTTTTATGAACACATCCAAAGGCGTATCCTGAAATGAAAATAAAAATATATCCTCCAACATATTCCCCATTTATAATAGCAGAATATTAAAAACCTATGTCTAACAAAAAGAGAATATATGGCTAATTGTGTGCCCTCTATACTAAGGCATATTATGCAATGATTATAGATAATTTTAAGAAGAATTTGCAATAGGATAGGTAATGATAAATGAAAGAAACAGAATGCAAAATTACATACCAAGTATCATCTCAGATGTATAAACCAGTATATGTTAAAGAAAAGGGAAACACTAAAATTGTAACAGTGGATACGTCTCTTTCTTGTGCTCTTCTCTATTTTATAAGTTCTCTACAGTGAGTCTGTGTCCTTTTATAATCAAGAAAAATCCGCATAAAAAGAAAAAGGCTAGTTCCATAAATTCATTTTAGCATAGGAAACTTACAGGGAGATTCTTGGGAGCCTCCTCACTTTCCTACAAGTCTCACTGAACTTGGTTCCTTCCAAAATTTACCTCTAAAGGTAATCTCAAATCTTTACCTCCTCACCCCCACCCAACCTTATTGCCTCCTACCAGATGTCCCCTCAAATTCATTCTCCCCCATATCTGGTATTTCCTAAACTTTACACTGAACTCAAAATCCCTTAAGCCTCATTTCCCTTCTCTGCTAATGAAAACAGCCCTGGTGG